TGATTCCCTATGGGCAAGTATTCCCCTATGTTTCCCTATGGGCAAGTACTCCCCAATGATTCTCCATGGGCAAGTATGGTTTCCCTATGGACTAGTACTGTCATCTGTTTTAGTACCTCCCTGGTGTGTTTGTCTGTGTGTACACACAAAGAAGGGGGAGATCCTGGGAGAGGGATGCTGAGATGCAGAGATGCTGAGCTCTCTCTTGCCTGTCCCTCTCTGGGCTGCTTTCCTAGCTAAGGAAGAAAGGGGTTAAAGGCAGCGAGGTTTCTTTTCTAGACAAGCCCAGGCTGGCTGGAGGAGAGGAAAGGGGAGGGAAGAGGGGACTCCACCTTCTCCTTTCAGGAAAACTTCTCCATCTGGGCTCCCTTTCCCCAGTCTTTTGACCCTTTCCCCTCCTCTGCCCTCTTGGCTTCCTCTGCAGATCATCCAGGGAGACCAGATCCCAAGGGAGAGCCTCCCAAAAGGTCCCCAGATGGATCAGGTGAGTGGAGTCCAGAATGGCTGCAAAGGATGCAGGAAAAAGAGAGATCCAAGAGGTAGGGGGAGATGCAGGAAGGGGGAGCCAAGGCTGGGGGAGAAATCCAGCAAAACCAGCCCTTTGTGGTGGTTGCTGACTGGTCTGGAGTGGACCTTGACTCATGGGGACCCTATGGATGAGACATCTCCAAGACCCCCTTGTGTGTTGTGTGCCTTCAAGACATTTGTGCCTTACAGCAACCCTAATGACAGTGGATGTTGTTAATTAATTGTTGTATTGTTTTTTTTAATTGACTTTTATTATTTTACCTATTGTCTCTATTAGATTGTACGCCTCTGGCAGGTTTTTATTCTATTTTATGTTGATTTTCTCTTTGTACAGCACTGTGTATATTGACAGCGCTTTAGAAATAAACAATGATAATAATAGTAATAGTAATAGTAATAACCTATTATGGTGTTTTCTTGGCAAGATTTTTTCAGAGGGTCTTGGCCATGGCTTTCCCCTGAGGCTGAGAAAGTGTGACTTGCTCAAGGTCACCCAGTGGGTTCCAAGCTGGGGGTTGAACCCTGGTCTCCTGAGTCCTAGTCCAGTGCTCAAACCACTAGGCCATCCTAGTTCTATCAGTACTCTTTGGGAAACTTGCAGCCTTTTCAGAGGCAAGGGACTGAGTATTGTCAGAAACAGGAGACTAGGACTAGGTGGTTCTTTTCTCTGATCCAGAAAGAACTTTTTATTGCACAGGAGAGTATCAGAGATTTTCTCTGGAAATCAAAGAAACAGAGATTTGAATTGGGGGAGGAGAGATTGTGTTTTACAAAATGAGAGTCAATTGCCTTTCCTAAGCCCAGGGGCAAGGTTTCAGTGGCTGAGCAAGGATTTGAACCCTGGTCTCCAGAGTCTTAGTCCAATGCTGAAGCTACTATGCCAGCTGGCTCTTTGCAAATACACTTACACTTACTCTCTGCAAATACATTCATGCCATGTTGGCTCTCTCACAAAACCACAAATCTCAGAATTCCATAGCATTGAACCATGGTAGTTAAAGCAGTGTCACACTGCATTAATTCTGCAGTGTAGATGCAGAGGTGTTTTTTGCCAATTCCTTCCTCTGAAACACAGCCTACAGCACCTGGGATTTGTGGGAAAACCACCATTTATTACCGATTGGGTAAATATATTTTCTTTTTGTTGTTGTGTCCCTTCAAGTCATTTCTAACTTACAGCAACCCTATCACAGGGTTTCCTTGGCAAGATTCGTTCAGAGGAGGCTTACCATTGCTGTCTTCTGAAGATAAGAGAGTGTGACTTACCCAAGTTCAACAGTGGGTTTCAGTGGCCAAGCAGGAATTTGAATCCTGGGGGCTGTGTTCCCCCCAGCTTGGCCTCATCCTGTATGGATAATGCAGACAATAGCCTTGGGCTTGGATTGGCCAGACTGGACAGTGATCTGACACATCTGGCCCAACCCTGACCCAAAAAAACCCCATAAAGCAGTCTAAAAAGATGGGCTGTTCATGGCTGAATTTCCTGGAAACTCTCGCACAGCAGCTGGCACACTCCACAAGCATATAAACCCTTACCTGCTGCCGCCATCATATTCCCTCTGAAGGTCCCAGTCATGGTCTGTGATGTTGGAAAGGGACACATGGCCATGTGGATGGAGTCAGGTGCCCCATTCTTGCCACTATGGACCACAACAGAGACCTTCAGAGGGAACATGGCAGCAGTGGCAGGTAAGGAGTGCATGGTGGCAGCAAATCCATAGTGCAGCAGCAGGTGGGCATATGAATATCCTTTTGTCATCGTGCCAATCTGGGAGCAGAAATGGCTCTGAAACATGGGCGGGATGCCACCAGGGTGGCCCATGGTATCCTGCCCCATGTGTATCGGCCCCAGTCTCCAGAGTCATAATGCAATGCTCAAATCACTACACCATGCTGGCTCTTGACTTTTATCCTAGCATAGAACCAAAGGGGCTTTATTTATCTTTTTGGCTGTCCAGGGTATCCATAGAACTCTCCTTCAGCACCACATTTCAAATGAGTTGATTCTCTTCCTGGCAGCCTTCTTTACTGTCCAGTTTTCACTCCCATTCATAGAAATCAGTAATCCTGCAGCCTGGTTGACCCTGACTTTGATATTCAATGCTATATCTTTACATTTGTTGCCCTTCCAAGTCCTAGGCTGCCTCCACTCTGCAGAAATAATCCAGTTTGACATCACTTTAGCTGCCTTGGCTCAATACTGGGAATTGTAGTTTGTTCTGGCACATGAGCTCTCTGACAGAAAAGGCTAAATGTCTCCCAAAACTACAGATCCCAGAATTCTTCAGCATTGTGCTATGGCAGTTAAAGCAATGTCAGACTGGATTATTTCTGCAGTGCAGAGGCAGTGCTAGTCTTCTTCTGATTTCTTGACTGCAGTCTCCATTTTGGTGAATGACTGAGGGAAAGTATAGGAAATCTTTAACTGTGTTTGGTCTGTCTTTACACTTGAAGGTCTTACATAGTTCTTTCATAGCTGAAAAGCTGTTTTTAAAATACAGATTGAAATACTTACAAAGACCACTGTAAAATCTCTGTGTGTGTTATTACAAGATATAATTAAACAATCCATAGAATTAAACCCTTTAAAAATACATTTACAGGTAGAAAATAAAAATCAAGAACACAGCAATTGTAGCAGATTCCTAAAAACTAGTCCGAATAGGAAAAAAATGGAGGGGGGGGGCTACTCTACTAAAAACAAACTCCTTATCATTGTCAGGTTGTACAACAGTCTTGCAGTTGCATTCAATCCAGCCAATCTATGTATATCTTGTGATGCTGAGAACTTGTGCATGAGTTTTCTGTCTTCCTTTTCCTCCTTCCACACCTCTTTTTGTGCCATGTCTTTTTAGACCCGAACTCTGAGAGCAAGGACTGTCTTGTGTCTTGTTTTTATTGACTGATATGTTGTTCAGAGAGCAGGGGTGCCTTTTCGTTCCATCAGTGCAGCAGTGAATCTGCTCCAGGTGGTCATCTGAACTTTAAGGTAGCCGTCTTAAAATAATTCTACAAGGAGCTGAATTATTTGGAGGATCACAGTTCAGCACCCTGGATAGCTCCTGTAGAGGTTGCATCTTAAACTTGCATCATTGCATGGAAGCTACTGCTGCTTCAGGCAAACTGATCTGTGTGTTTGTTTATGATTGTTGGTTCTGTATTTCTGGTTGGCTATATGTTTATAATATACAAGGGGTGCAGCAATTTCAATCAACCAAACATGTTCAGAATCGTTGTTGTTGTTGTTTGTTTATATTTGCTGATTTTCTTGCACCATTCTAGTAGTTTAATTCCACTTTAACTGCCATGCATCTCTTTGACAGTATTGTGAGATCTGTAGTTCAGTGAGGTACCTCGAATTCTCTGCTTGTGGTTTTAGTTCAATGAAGTTCAGGGAGTAGACTAGAGCAGTGGCTCTCAGACTTTTTACTCCTGTGACCCCCTTTACAACTACATTGGGATGTTCTACCACCTCCCCACTCAGTGTAGCACAGCAGGCCCTAAACCTTTGTTGGTGGAGAAAAGGACAAAAATCAGACAAGCTGGACATGATGGGACATCACTTTTGGGTGTGTCATGGCACTGCGACACAAGGATGAAAATGGGCTCCTGCACCATTGTGCAGGTGCCCATCCCTGGTCTAGTCCTAGTATCCTTCTTGTGACATTAGCCAGTTAAGGGGAATGGTGGGATATTTAGGACACAACCAAAACCAAGTACTTCTTCACATAGTTCATAATTACACTAGGGAATTTGCTAGTGCCAGACATACAGTTGGCCCTCTGTGTCCACAGATTTTGTATCCACAGTTTCTACCATCCAAGACTTAAAAATATCCTCCCCCGAAAAAAAATCAAAAAGCAAATCTTGATTTTGCCATTTTATATAAATGGACATTTTACAATGCTGTTGTATGTAATGGGAGTTAAACATCCATGGAACCTGGAACCAACCCCCGCAGTGGATGCCAAGGGCCTACTGTATGGTGGAAGTCACCAGTATGGACCTCCAATTAGTTGAATCGGTGGAGGCGAATGTTACTATTCATGCTGCTGCCTCTCAGATTAGCAGCATATGTCTTTCAAAACTGGTTGCTGGGAAGTTAGAAAGAACTATCCCCTTTATTTTGTCCATTGGTCATTGTGGGGAATTGCATTTTTGCAAAATTAGAATCAAACTTGATTGTGTTTCCTCCTCCCTGCTAGCCCAGGGGTGTCTGAAACTGAACCCAAATGCCATCCAGTTGCCCAATGGGCTCATGTAGACATGATTTAACACAATTCAACACTCAACCTGAGCCAGCATGATGTAATGGTTTGAGCATTAGACTTGGATTCTGGAGGCCAGGGTTCGGATGCTAGCTCAGCTATGTAAACCCACAGAGTAACTTTAGATAAGTCACCCTCTGTCAGCCTCAGAGGATGGCAATGGCAAACCCCTTTTGTAGAAACTTGCCAAGAAAACCCCATGATAAGTTCACCTTAAGGTCACCAGAAGTCAGAAATGACTTGAAGGCACACAACAACTACTACAACAAGCACTCAAACCACTATACCACACTGCCTCTCTACTCCGATAATTACAGGGCATGTATACCTCTTGCTTAGGTGTGCTTTGTACCACAGGCTGGGAGCTTATAGCCCAGAAGCAGGGTTTTGTTTTATTTTGTGTTTCACTTAGCAAAAATAACAAAGTACAGGTTGAGTCTCCCTTATCTGGAATTCTGAAATCCAAAATACTGCAAAATCCAAAATTGTCCACATGGGTGGCTGAGATAGTGAACCTTTGCTTTCTGCTGGTTCAGGGTACACAAGCTTTGTTTCATTATTTTTTGTTTCAAAATTATTTAAGATATTGTGTATAAAATTACCTTCAGGCTATGTGTGTAAGGTGTATATACAACATAAATAAATTTCATGTTTAGACTTGGGTCCCATCTCCAAGATATCTCATTACCTATATATGCAAATATTCCAAATTCTGGGGGAGCGGATTCCAAAATCCAAAACAGATGCGGTCCCAAACATTTCAGATAAGGGAGACTCAGTCTGTCATCAGTTTTTAAAAGTAATTTTCTAAGCTCTGATTTGTTTTCTCCCCCTGCAGCCCAAGGAATGAAAATGGAGGAGCACAACCCAGAAAAACCTGGGGAGAGGTTGGAAGGAGCTGAGCCTTTCTGTTTTGTTACCCCGATAGCTACCATCCAAAGCCTCCATCCGGGTCCAACTCCAGAAGTGATATGGGCTTCAGGTAATGGACTGAAACAACACTGGGTAGCCCCATGGCAAGCATTCTTGAAGACAATGCAATATCCCCATTTTGGACAGAGGAACCCACCACTGATGGCTCCCATCCAGTGGAGTCAAGCAGAAGCTTTACAGTATTCATTCAAAGGGCTAGCCCATGATAGCCGTTGGCCTAGAAGGCATTGGATGGCCCCAAACTTACCAGGGTTCAACACTGAAGGCCAGCTTGAGGCCAAAGAGAACAACAACTCCTCAAGTAAAGTGAAGGAAGAGGTCCCCGAGGATGACACTGACGCCGAGAGTTTGGGGATGCCGTGTCAGTGCTT